GGGTATACTTGGAGTAGTGGGCTTAGAAAGAATAAGGCCTTCGGTGCAGCCTGGAGCCCAGATTATATTGAAGTGGGAGGGTGGACAGAAAGTGCTTTTAGTGCAGGCTCTGGCACAGCTTATACTGAAGTGCTGAATCTAAACGTAGAAAGAAGTGTATTGTTGATCCCAGCTTAAAACTAGAAGGTTAACTGTGACATGGCCTGGGGCCCAGCTTATTGTGGTAGTGCCTCAGCTGTGCTCTAAAAGCAGTTCCTTCTGCCAATCAGGTATGAAGTGTGACCTGTGTTGGGTGGTCTGGTCTCTGTGAGTCTTGGTGTAAGACAGGATTATAGGAAACATAGCAGGTTGTATGTTAGAAGGACTTCAGATACTCATGGTGCATTTGTATTAATGTGCTTGTCTGTATATACAGTACATTCTCAATATACACCAAACCTGGGTCAGGTGTACATTATAGGAACTAATGACCCACATTTCCTCACTTCACTCTGCTTTTATTTTAGTTTACAGGATGATTACATTGCAGCAGAACAAATGAAGACTAAGTGGCTTTTCCCCAGTTTACTAAACAGGTGATCGTCGCAGGTGACGTGAAGACAGGATTAGTCATCAGAAGATTATGTACGGAAGTGTTCTCTATTGTTCTGACTTAAGTGTTCCGCTTGTAGAGATACCCGGAGCCTTTACAAACGACAGGTGGGCTTGATTCCTGTAAAGAATAGATGATTCCAATCAATTAAACACGAGTTGTCTCAGCTGAGGATGCTAAGGGTTTGAGTGTTGTTTGTATGATCTTGCGTTAGTTCTAAATGGGGAATAGTTGGATTAATTGTGTCATGTAGGGAGAGAAATGGACTAAATGTCCTCAGAGAGATGAAAACTAGTTATGTGCTGCTTTTCTGAGATGAATTATATGGTAAAAGTATAGAAGATTATGTATGACCTGTCCATTAAAATCATTGCCCAGGTAATATTAATAATAAAAAATTTTCTTTATTGGTTTATTGACACAGATCAACTGATCTGATGCTTTCTATTTTAAGAAGAAATGACAAACTTAAGAGCATAGACTCTGGTCAACTCTGGTCATTAGCAGTTGGTTAGCTCTAGTTATTGGCTTAGTACGCAGTTGGTGAATTGTAATTTGTGGCCAGCAGTGCAGTTTGTAGACCAACTTTGGTCAACAGTAGGTTATCTCTCAGCAAGAGGTTAACTATGATCAGTAGTAGGTGTCAGTGGAGAATTAAACTGTTGACCATCAGTAAATACAAGCAGGTGACATGATAACTGACCATGGCCTGCCTGACTGAGGAGAGAAAAAGAGGAGGACCTCCCATCATGAGCTCATTACTGCTGCTAATCAGGCCTGTCAGGGGCACGGTCCTCAGGGAATCATGGGAATGGGCTGTGCTTTCATTTTTAATGCTGCCTTATAGCCCAGATAAATCTGACCCCAAATGCAGGCGTTTTGTTTTCTCGTTCCAAATGTTATTCTCAGTGTGTTGAGGTGTAATTTGAATGGTTGGTCTGTAGTTTAATGTGTTAAAGAGTTTCCTCCTGTCTATGCAACCTTGTTTTTACGATACAATAACGAACATGTACAATTATGAGATAAGAAAGCAAGATTCCCATTTTTCCTTCCTTGTCCCCTTTTCTGAAGGACGTCTTTGTCCAAAATGTAAGTCTCCACAGGAAGTTTCGCTTGCTGCTGCCGTGTAGACTCACGGCCTACTGGGAGGGTCAGGAAGGTCATGCTAGTGCTGGGCGGATTTTCTTCCATTTTCTTAGAAACAAGCAAATTGTATATCATAAAGAATGAAGAACATAATAAAATTTGAAGAAAATAAAATGTGTGAAAATTACCAGACTATAGTGTTAGAATTATCAAAATAAGACTTCATCATTATAGTAATTTGTTTTGAGTTGCAGTTTGAAAATATCTTAAATCAAGGCATTTGATATGCGTGGCTTTCTTGTATAACTATATTAAGTCTTAGAAACACTTCCATAATCATTTTCCTGTTCCAAACCCACAAGATGAAGTCCTTGAGATGAAGTCCCATACAAGATCCTTGATCGGTGATCAGACACCTCGGATTAATGACCTCCTTAAGCTCTCATTCAGCATTAAGGTTTGTTTGATCACTTGGATTAGGTTCCTAATCACCTCCTTTCTCCCGGTCGAAAATTGGTACTTTTGTTATTTACTCAGGCGTCCAAAACGGGGCAGTCTGAGGAAGTCCGTCCGCTCTTTGTGTGTTAGTCAGCATGTGGCTGATTCACATTCCTGTGCCTGCCCTGGGCCTCTCAGTATTTGGCATGGGATAGCTCCGGTCTCTGCAGAAGGGAGTTCCTCTCTGTCCAGTCACTACAGGTTTTACTCCAGGTTAACACTAGGATGGAGTTTTCGACAGTACAAGGTAACGTGTGTGAGAACCTGTATCATCTGCATTTGGGGATGATTTATCCAGTGTTTGTGTGAAGAGTCTTTGTCTAGTGGCCCCTGTGATTGCCGGTCAGGGTAAAAATAGCGTCACAATGCTGTACTGTGGATGTCAGTCCGCCCAAGGGTCAGCATGTTGTTAGGACTGGGCTTGTATGTCACTTCTTTGTGCTTTTCACTTGCTTTAAACTTGAGTTTTTGCCCTGGTTCGTCAGTGTTGTGACAATGGGGTATAGACGAGAAGACAGGGTGGTCATGTGAAAATACTTTACCAGAGTTGGATAGTGATGGGAAGTTCAGAAAGTTTGGCCCCCATCCAGGACAAGCTTGTAAAGAGACTAAAACTAGCTGGAAGGTCAATGGCATGTGATGTTCCGACTGGACGTTTCCCGTCTTTCCCTTTGTTAATCATGGTGGAAATGGTCCCGGCCTAGACGGACATGTAAGTACGGATCACAGCTTCAAGGGTTCTCCAGGACTGTTGAGGACGGGGTTTCGTTTTTCCCCTGTCACGACGCAGTGTTTACCCAGCGCTTGTCCTGAGCGCCTGTTGCCCTGGTTATGCGGCCAGGATTTGCACGATCTTGTTTGCAAACATAGAACAGGAAGAAGTAACACATTTGTAAGGAAAAGAGGAAGTATGTACTTCATCTATAGGAAAAATGAGTGAGTTAGCACTTGTTTTAGCCCCCCTCCCCAAGTTCGTCTATTTTTACAGTCACACCCGAATGCTCTGCCAAGGTTATGACCTATGTGTCTGCTGAGAAAATGTGTCAGAACTGATGAGAAAGAGAGTGGAAGCAACTGGAAGTCGCATTTTTGTGCCATTACTTGTTACTGATGGGGGTGGGCCAGTACTGAAATCAGACTTGCAGCCTGTGTGGTATGAAAGTCTTACAAATGTAGGTGATGGGCAGGTAGGAAAGACAGAAACAGAAGTATAATAGCAGGGTTCGGGGAAAGAGACTGGCAGGGGCTAGTTTTGTATCAGAGATGGTCACCAGATGAGTAGGTCACCAGAACAGCTCCTTGTCCCAGACCAAAGGACAGTACGTGTTTTCTAGGGGTCACTATCCTGGTCATCAGGCTAGAGGTCAGGGGTCATATGGCTGTGATGACCAGACATGTAGAGCAAGACAGTTGATATCAGCATCAAAGTGTTGTATATCCAAAGAACCCTGTTGATTTATATCCAAAGAACCCTGTTGACTTCTGGTACTATTCGTGCTAGCCACCTTTGATTTTTATTCTCCTAATATATTATTACTAAAGATGTCAAATATACATGTAGATAAAATTCATCCAGAATTCAGTCACTGGAAGTGAGTGGTTTGTTTTGCTGAGTATTCAGTGTCACGTCCAGCTGCTGTAGATACTCCAGATGCCGAAATCTGGTAATTAGGGGAAGTTTAGGCCTAAACTTTGAAAAATTAGCAGCTGAGGTTTTGAAAATGGGCCAAGGTGATCGCAAGGGTCAGCCAAGTGTTTGTGTAAGTACACTTGAGCACTGGGTAATTTTCAGGGTAGGCTGAACAAAGGACTCAAATCTGCTGGAGCCTCTGCTGGCAAATTGGCCTCCTAGCTGGCAGGGCCAAGGTGTTTATTTGGTTTTGGGCAAAGAACCACACCAAGTGTGATTGTTAGATCACTGTTGATAATTCGTAATAACAAGAAAATACACAAGAAAACGCTTTCAAATTCGAGGCTGTCTTTTGAATGGTCTTCTAGCAAGTGAAAAAAAATGTCCTCTGAAACCATGAGTCATGACAAATTTTGGTAATGCCTTACCCGTAAGCAAGACTGGACTTGTTCTCTCAAGAGTGTGCTTTCCCACAAAAGACTTTTTCTTTCAAACGTTTGAAGAAAATGTGAATAAAAGCCACCAAACACTTTGCTGTTGCCCTTAATTGTAAGCAAGACAGGGCTTGTTCTCCCAAGAATGTGATTTCCACAGCGGACATGAAAAGGCTCCTGACCAGTGTTAGGAAGCAGATATCATCTCCACATCTGTTTCCAGTCCACATGTTATGTAGACTAATATTCCACTGCTGAGGGGTGAATCCTTACATTCCAGTGCCCTATGTCATGAATACAGTAGTTCCTATTCATGATGACTGGTGGCTGGTGCCTGGTGGTCAGCTCCTGCTAGGACCTGCTGGTAATGAGGACTGACTGACAGGGCTGGGCGTGAGCTTCTGCAGTATTTAGTCAGCAATATCCATGTGGTCTAGCCACATCTGAGGCCCAGAGGCTTAGACAGTGCGCAGTCTGTAGTCAATATTCATTTGAAGCTTAACTCATAGCAGATCAGGGTTCTATTTCAGTTTTGTGTTGGCTGTATACTTCCTACAAGTTACAAGATGACTTTTTGGAACAAGACTGGTCTGAGTATTATTATTGACATTCTACAATTATATCTATAATTGGAAGTCTGTATTATAGGCTTAGGATACACTGATACTGGCAGTCATGCTGTTGTTTTGAAGTACTTATAAATACTTTGTAGATTTGACGTAAATGCTGACGTGATGTTTTTTTCCTGTCGTTTCTGCAGAGCTGATTTGGGCGGGAGCCGGCGCACACCATGGCCCAACCAGCAGCCTACTCCCTGGTCATGTCGGACACCACGCTGCTGGAAACTTCCTTTCTTAACCACTCCGATGCCTTACCGCTCGTGCCCCCGCAACATCGCAGCAACGTTTCGCCGTGCTCCACCATCATGGGTAGTGTGGGTAGTCTGCTAGGAAAGGAGGACAAAAACAGTAACCTGCCCGTGCAGAAGGTGGGGTATAACCGCGAGGGACTGTACGATAACTGCTACGATAAACACATATACGAGGACGTGGAGATGAAACCGGCGCACAAGACGGGAACACTGGAGGGGAAGGCGCCGCCACCCAAGATTATGCCCTTCAGTGGGAAATTAGACAAGGTAGGTTATATACAAATTATAAACTTTTTATATATCATATAATGATTTAGATAGGCAACTGCATGACTGCCATTTTCTACTAGCAGATTCACATGTTTCTCCCCATCTTTTAATAAAATTTTCAAGTTGTCCCTTGACCACTGCATCTAGCTGCAGTCCCTCTTAGGAATGCCACCTAGCTGATAAGGTAGTACTGCAGCCTGTTGTCAAGGATGCTGATTACAGGGAAAACATAATGTCTGATAATCAGCAGTAGTCACCATTCTTGTCTGTGATGAAAAATCAGTGGGAGAGAAATATTTTGTAATCTGTTCAGCAGTAGCTTTATATCGGGTTTTCAGAATTGCTTAATGGTTTGTTAGACAGCCATGCACCTGTAGTTTTAGAAAACCTACAGCAAAAGACACCAGAAAGGGATTGTTGGAAGTTGCAAACTCTAGACATGGCCTTGGGCAGAAAATGGACAGGCATGACACTAAGCTAAGCGAAATATCAAGAGGAACAAGAAACCTGAGAAGTGGTTGTCAGATCGTTGGGGGTGCAACAACATCCAAGTAATTAAGACAGGGATAGATAAGATGAGTTAGCCAGAGGAATCAGCATAGCACCAGGGAGGGTTTAGGCTGGGGTGAAAGATCAGCGGTGACCTATAAAAGATGGGAAGATTGCCTATTGACCATGGGTGATTGAGGTGTGTTTCACTCACCCAGAAATGTCAGAGGTCAGGTATTACCACCGGTACCTGTCAAACACGGAATTAGGATGTACATGTACATGTCTGTGTGATGAATTGGCAAGGGACACCCACTCTGGATAGTGTGTGTAGGTGGGTTTAAGGATTGAATTTGCAAATGAAGGATTATGATTTGCAGAAAATAGCAAACGATGAATGCGATGCAGTGATTCACCCCCTCTTCTCTTAATCTCCAAGCAGATTCTGGGTGGCTGCAATACAATATATCAAATTGGTAAAACAGTATCCAATTGGCCAGGCAGTATCCAATACGCCACCGTGGGGCAGCAAATGGTTACAGGCGGCCAATATACTCCCCTTGCCCCACAGAATCTGCTTGGACTCAAGTTGGAGATTATCTTCTGGGCTTTATTCAATGAGGAATCAACGCTCTTCCTGCTAGGCATCCTAACCTGTTACCAATAGAGAATGGGTAGCGAAACAACTATATGTACTTCAATGTGCTGCAGTAGACTGGGTGCCATCTGATTTGTAATGGCAACCCTAAAAAAATTGCTGCACCCTTGCGAACCTCGGTCTCACAGTGGAAGCATACTGGAATGTACTTCATATGTGATTCCACTGTGAGACACCAGGAATTACATAGGAAGCATAATGGAACTATAGCTAATATCCATGACCAAACTTCTCCGCCCATGGAAGCATAGGGGGATGTCAGCTTGCTGGCAGCTTACTGCAGGATGCCCTCCTGTGGCCCAGGAGTATCCTGTTGTTTGTTTAGTGAGGCCTGACTGATGGACCATGTAATTTGGACAACAGGGAGCTTCAGCCATGTCAGGGGAAACAGGGCTAGTTAACACCCCAGCCGTTGGTGACAGATCACTTAGCCCTAGAAGGGATAGACCAACCCACATGTTGTACAACAGGGGTGTGTGACTGCTAGGCTCTGATTAAATCTGCATGTTAAAGATGGGACAAAAAAGTTTCATACCCCCCACCTCACATGTGAACCAAGGCCAAGGAAAGCCATAATTAATATCATGGTGGTAGAGAGAGGATCAATATCTGATATCCTCTTGCTTAGTTGTTACTGATGGCAGCTGACCTACTTTCTTACAGTGCCACTGGCATTTACAAATCTATAACAGATGTCATGGACTTGCACATGTCATGCTGAGGGAAAAAGTTTTAAAAGTTGTAGGATATACCAAGGACTTGGATATAAGGTGTCTTTTTTAGAGAATATTACATTCCGCAAAATATAGGCCCTCTCACAGTAGGAGTACAAAAATTCACCACCACAAACATGTTCAAAGGTGTTCCCTGTATGTCTGCTAAGATTCTGCCCTCAACACGCTTTTTGCATTCTTGTCTTTGCCAAAATTTACAGAATGATGACTTGCACCAAGGCTTGCAGTGGCTCCCTATGAAAGTTCAAGATGGCAGACTGTAGCCACTTGATTATTCAATCCATTTCAATACAGACACAATCCAGATTGTTGTAGAGCAGTGTGAACACCCCTTGCAAACCTGGGTTCTAATGGGAAGCATGTGACCAGCTTGATGCCAGCATACATGTAAGATGGGCACATCTCTCAAGGGTTCATCACTGGTAGAAATCAATTAGTCATGCATGCTACCTTATCTTACCCTTGCCTCTGCCCAAGGAAACTCTTCATAGCTTCACAGGGAGTAGATATTTGGTTTTCCATGCGAACCTTGGTCTTATAAACAACTTAGACTGGACCATGGTCCTCTTTACCCGCAAAGTAAGTCCTTAGTCAGGGAGTACTGTGTCACTGCCAGAGCTGTCACACTTCCCATGCTCAGAGAGTTCCCCTGCCAGATGTACCATGTAATTCAAGCCACCAGGCTAAAAATATTCACACCAAGGAGGATCTTCTTGAGTTATCCTTGTTAAGAGATGCTTCTTGAAACCAAACTTACCCTTGCCAAAGTAGTCAGTTGTACAGCTATATAGTATAATGCTGCATTACATTGGCATTTTCAGATCACTTCTTGGGTTAACCCGGCAGGAGTCATGGTATTTATTGAGTGATATATCTAACATAGCATAGTGAGCATATGACAATTAAACTAGCTCCCACTGAACATTGGGAGTAATGCTGGATTGATGACATGACCATTCTTTCTTTCTTTTCTTTTATGACCATTAATCATCAATAATCATCTGGGGCTTTTGGAGTGGGGCAGAAGATGTGATCTCCACCCCTGACAGCCTGCCAGCAGGGATGGTCACACCAAATTAATCCTGTGCTCTTTGAAAACATGTGCCTTCCTGGAGGTGAAACATAATCTGTTTTCTTTGAGCTGAAACACAGCATCATACCAATGTATTCTGTACAATATCGGCCAAAAGATTTCAAGAGATACAATACTAAGTATACTGTTCTTGAACAGTAAACCAGTAACTACTGCATCTACACATACAGAGCCTCCTACATGTGCTATGGGGAGTTGCAAAGGATGGTCTGAAGTATCATGATTGTGACGATGTATGGGAACATCTGCTCCCCCCATAGGCCATGTGACCTATTGGGGGGAGCAGAATGCTCTATCAGTTTGCTATCTTGGTCCTACATTGTGTTCTCTCTTCGTTTCTTGTTAGACATTTGCTAAGAGGCACCACGTTTTTTTACCAAATGTCCTAAAATTTTAACAGAGATATACATTGGTTCCATAGGTATTCTTGGTTTAATTTTTTTGGGTGCAGGCCCTAAAATAATTTAATGTAGCTTTTTTGTAAAAAATAGTCCCAAAAGTATAATTGTAACTTATTGGCTCCTGTGCCTTCATATTAGGTCAAATACAGGACCTGAAATTTGGTATGAGGATAGTGGTTCATGTACAGTGTTGGTGGTCAAGTAAGCAGTATAATGACAAGAAGTTTCTGAAACAAGTCGACATTGTTTTTGACAAAATATTTATACATATACACACGACAAAAGTTCAGCTATGCTGGGGAGCTTTCGAGACGTACTCTGTCTCTTCATCAACTCGATTCAGATCTCGTCTTGGAGTTCTCTTGTCACGTGACTTGATGAGATAATCACGTGACAAGAGAGTCATATTCAAGTCGACATTGTTTTACAGTCAGAGGAAGGTCTGTGTACTCAGATGTACCTCAGGTCGATTTTCACACTACACTGAACTGGTCAAGAGGTTTTCTAGGTCAACAAAGCACTTTGGGAGGGTTGCCTGTCAACTGTGGCAAAATGATGTGATTATCACTAGTGGCTGGCTGGGCCAAATTTTACGCGAATCTGTCACAGTCTACTCCCTAGTCTAGGTAGTCCTTCAGCATGGAAGAAGACTGCTAGTGTCCTCCTTCACGGGGGTGTGACCTCATATGGCTTCTCAGTCCAAAGCTTATGTGTGTATCAATATATTTTTCATTTCCTACCCAGTCACTTCTAACAGAAAATAAATCTGTTAAGTAAACATCAATCATCTCCACGTTGAAAAAGTATAATCATGATAACATACTAAACATTGGTGTTATATAATGAAACTCTCGGCACCAGATGAAGTAGTTGGGGGGGGGGTAGTTCGGTTGAGGATTTGTACTTACATATGTACTTGAGCCTGTTGTTAATGCAAGGGTCAACCATAACCAAAGACTGTGCATGCAGAAGAAAGGCAAACTAATTGGTTGAAGGCACTGCAGAGTTGACAGTTGAGGGAGGTGCCTTAGACAGCCATATTCTACTGTGAAATTAGGCACTATACTGGCTGTAATGCAGGATGAATGTTTCAGGGGGTAATGCTGCATAGCAGACCACTTTGGTCTGGGCCTGAGGCTTTTAGTCACATGACCCCCTGGGAACTGCTCCACCCACTGTTTCAGTGGACTGCCAGAGCTGTCACCCATTCCCATCTCCTTATCACTGATCAAGACTCAAGTGTCCAAGACCAGTAGCTGGTGACATGGGATTTACAGACTAATAACACAAACCTTGTTCTTAGGGTGGAACTATAGGTGAACCACAGGGGCATAGTTCTAGGAGAGGTGGAACTACATCCGAACTACAAGCAAGCCTTTCTGGCCTGCATTAGAGCTTCATGTGTTCCTTTTTAGAGGAATTTCTGCCTATGTCAAGCATTTGGCATTTTGCTATGGAGTTTTGCTTTATTCATACAACAAAGAATAGCATCAAACATGATAACTTGATAGTGTAACATAAGTAAGGAATATTTTCCCTAAGCAAATTATGATAGCCACATTTTAGAGAGTTTAACTTAAATGTGCATAAGGGGGATACTATGGCGATTCCCACATTCTTTT